GCCTGCTGCTCAAAACGCGCTGCGGGACCTTTTGCTGCACCTTGACGCGCGTCAACCATTGACTTTGCATGTAAACTCGCTGCTTCTGCCGCGCCTGCTGCGTCCGGTGTGAACGTAGCATTAGAAGATATCAGAGAAGCACCAGCATCATCAAGACCAAGGATCCCAGCAGAAAAAGGTCAGCGATGAAGATGAGGAGAAGTTTCAGTCCTTTAAAAGGAGGGCCAACTTTAAACCTACTGAGTCAGGGCCTTCCACCTACGTCATTTAATTAAGGGATTGGTTTGCTTATATGGCATTTTATGTAGGTAAACAGGATTCCATTTAAAGCTGTTCTATAAGTAATGGGAGATTACCTTTACATTTATAGTGTTTTTTCAAGTCAGTAGACTTGACCAAAGCACTTTACACTACATTCACCTTTGTGCATACACACTCAGACAGCGAACACTGTGTGTGTATAAGTGAGGCTGACTGCACCTGTAATCTCCACTGTTCTTCTTCTGGAAGGAAGCCGGTCCTGGATCACCCACCGTCGACACGGTCACCATTTCAAACCCAACGCTGTACTGTCTGCAGGCACAAGACAGACAAGCAGAGAGAAAAATCAACATCATAAAAACATACTGGTCCCACATGTACCATAAAAAAAACAGATTCAAATTTAAATGACAAAGTAGAACAGTAGAATAAAGGATTTCATTTACTGAGCAGAACTGAAAAACCATAATTTTTTGTCAGTTAAGAGTTTTTTTTTCTTAATTAAAGAAAAAATGTCTGAGAAAGTCTTTCCACTTCTTTATGTTTTAACAAAAACTAAGGAATTTGCTGCAAATTTAAAGCATTTGATTTTTTTGATCATTGATATTCTAAGTTACTTTAATATCATTTTTAGTAGTGGACATCCAATCTATTTTTTGAAAACAAACTCCATGTTATGTTCTATAAGCCTCGGCTAGTATTAGAAAGAGTCCAACTTTAAAAAGTACGGCAGTGGAGTAGTGATGCTTTGGGTTTGCATCCCAGCCACATAACATTACCCTTCAGTTCCTGATCTAACCACTAAATCACTTTTATACGTCATCATTCTAGATTCAAATGTGAGGCCAGGCAGCTAAAGCGGGGCACAGACTTGGTTTTAAGGTAATACGTTAAAGATGGTCCAAAATGTCTCCATGGTGATGAACAACAATCTGTTGCAAGCACTAAATCTACAAATCTGTAAGCTACTTAACAGTTTTTTTTAATAATAACTATCTCAAGTCTGTTCAGCTTTTTTTTTTAACTCTTGACGTTATGTTGTGCTTTTATTTATTTGTGGAAAACTGGTAGGAAGATGTACTCTCTCTCAAATGCAAATCTCCTGATTATAATACAGAGACCGACTAAAGGGGAAAATAAAAACCTGAGCCTGACCTGGATCCACGCAGCTCCACCAGCAGTGGGCCGGCCCGCTCCAGGTTGATTTGGTAGATGGGGTTGTGTTTGTATGAGTCCTTATAGTTCCCACATCCCCCAGCGCTGATTCCTTTCCACTGGCCGTTGATCTGAAGGCAGAGTCACAAATATAATCTGCTTTATCAGACTGTTAAAAATGGAATATTTCTATGCAAACAGCTGATTTACAGGACAGTTTGCCCATTGGATTATTAACTAGCCGACTGTATTAATGATGTACCCTTTTAGTGTGGGTGAAGGGATTTGGGATCTTGGCGAAGGTGAACTTGCATCCGGAGTAAACCTGCAGAAAGAAATTAAAATATTAAGTAAACAACAACAATGCAGGAAAAACAAACTGTTCATTTTGATAAAATAAGATGATTCATGTCTCCTGATCTTTGTCATTTTAAGGTTTTTTTAATCAGGTTGATCCCTACAGGAAAGACTGCTTTGTTCTGCAAAGACTAATCTCAGAAGTGTCACTGTTCAAAACTTAAGTTGAGGATGGCGGCAATTAGATAACAGGAAGGGGTATTTTCTCTGTTTTATGTGATAAATTCTATAACGATTACAGTGACTGTGTTAAAAATTAAAAGAAACAAGCACCAGCTGACACAACTTCTAACCAAATCGTCTTCTAAAAGAGGGAATTCAGCAGAAGCAAATTTCCTAGGGGCATCCTGCAGTCAGTGAGGAGAGTCTATTAATTATAAACGACTTTAAAGAACTATCTGGGTCACACGTGTAGAACCCAGAAGAACACTTAAAAGGCCTCGACTCTCTCAACCAGCCTCAGGGAACCGGCGTTTTTCAGAGGCACGTGTTCGGCTGAATAAAAGAAAAAAAGCATCTTTTTATTCACAGCGAGAAGATGGAAGCATTCAAAACTTTCATGGAGATAAAAAGCTGCTCATAAAACTCCTCTTAGAACAGAATGTACAAATTCTAATTTTTGTGCTTGCTTTCTCTCAGTAAAATATTTTTTAGGGATTTCCCTACAGGTTTAGGGCTAATGGGTGTACCACCGAGAGACGGGCTTAAAGAACATAGCAAAATTGAAACAAAGATATTTAACTGCAGACTTTACTTCATTCAGGGTTAAAATGTATATTAAAATCTGTTACCGTATTTTCGCGACTATAAGGCGCATATAAACGTCTTTTTTTTCCCTCAAAATGCGGCGCGCCCTATAGTGCGGT